CTCACATACAGAAGACAGCCCGAAAAGCGGCAGAGAGGATAGCATCCTTGAGCCGCCTGATGGCAAATACGACAGAACCGAGACCAGGAAAGCGGCGACTGGTAATGGCGACAGCTCACTCGATCTTTCTATACGGCGCGGAAATATGGGCAGATTCCCTGAAGACAAAGAAGTACTGTAAGACAATGACGATGGTACAGAGACAGGGCGCTCTGCGAATCGCTTGCTCCTACCGAACAGTCTCTGCGCAGGCTGTTTTGGTGGTGGCTGGCGTAATAACCGTAAATCTTCTGGCCTTTGAACGCAAAAGGATCTACGAGAGCAGCGCGGACATAAGACGAAAAAACGCGGCAATCGCTAAGCGCGACATTTGGCAAAGCCGATAGACAGAGGAACGAGGTGGTAACTGGACGAGACGATTGATACGGGACTTGAAGCTGTGGCTCGGAAGGAAATTTAGTGATGTGAATTTCTACGTCACTCAGCTCTTGACGGGCCACGGGTACTTCCGACGGTACCTTTACAATATGAACAGACTATGAACATCCGACTGTAAGTACTGTGGACACGAACGGAACACACGTTTTTCGCGTGTGACCGCTCGACATGACTCGGACGGGAACTGGAAGAAACGGTCGGCAGCATCACCCCCGATAACATCGTGGCTCTGATGCTACGTGAACCCGAATGGTGGCGCTTAGTCGCTACCTATATGGAAACTATGCTGAGACGTAAGAACGCGGACGGCTGCCTGACAAATGACTCAGCAGATGAAGTGACGCTACGTAACGAGATACGGAGGAACGACACGTACGGACGAACACAGACAGAACCTCCAGTCAGACGTAATATCAACATAGTCCCTGGCTGGGAGAAGGACACCAAGGAGATGGCGGTTTAGTGGGTAGGCCTATTTTTTTTTCTCGGGGAGTCCTACATAACCCCTTAGTCAGAAAGACTAAGGGGAATCCGCAAAAAGGATTCCGCAACTCCTTGTAAAAAAAAAAATAATAATAATAAGAATAAGCATAATTGCAATAGCAATAATAACAGTAATACTGATAATAGCAATGATTATGAAAAATAATAATAATAATGAGAATAATATTTATTATTGAATTTAGATTTTTTGATAAATTCATTAAATCATATCAAATAGTATTATTATGGAATTCTAGACTGTAAATATTTTATTATAGATAGAATAATCATTACTTCGAGAATTTATCTAAAAAACTTTTGGCTTAAGAAATAATTGTAACAATGAAAAACTCCTAAGTTTGAAAACATTAAAATTTATTACAAAACGCAAAAGAGGTTGATAAACTAATTTTATTAACCTATGTTTTTTCTTTTTCAAAAAAGTGTGGACTTTTTGAATTTATAAAATTATGAAATTTATGAAATACTTTATAATTTATGAAATTACTTTTGAAATTATGTTAATTTATAAAAGCAGAAAAATAAATAATCTTTGATTGAAACATAAAACGAGACGTTATTTGGCACATACAAAATGATTGAATAAAATATCCATAATATGTCTATACTCGTGTCTACGGGAAAGTATAGGCCTTCGGCCTGTCTGGAGGTTAGGGGTTTGGAGTCGTTTGGTTAAAAAGGACAACTATTTAGCCTATTTGTTGTTTAGGGGTTTAGGGTTTAAGGCTCTTTAGTTCACATGTACAGGCTACATAGATCACACATTTGTAAACAAGTTGTTATGAAAGTTAAAATTTTTTTTCGACATTTTCGTCCACCACATTAGTTCCGCCATTTTTAATTTTTAAAATCTGATATCAGATTTGTAAAGAGCGATCTCGAAAACCCCTATATACAAACCTTCTACAAAATATTATGGATTGAAGTATACTTATAGTTATTTTGTGTTAGGGGTGGTTTACCCCCCTTAGGTTAAAGGAACCCTTTATTTATTAAAACACCGAAAGACGTTACCTAAATTTTGTTATTATGGATATTTAAACATTTTTTCCAATTTTATTTTAGTCGGTTTAAATTTTTTCAATATAAAATTATGCCAAAAAATATATGTTTTTAACCCCTAAAATATAGGAGATGCTACCTTTACTCTTCGAATCACCATGAGATATTTGCTTCTTTTGTAAGAAATAACCTCCAATTTTTTTCACTGAAAAATATTAATTTTAAGCCGAGATATTAAAAAAAAACGCTTTTTGGGGGTTATCTTTGGGGGAGGTTTTTAACCCTTAAAAGTGTAAATTAGCCGATAAAAAAAAACACGTGTCTCTTATTTTTTTATGTTCTATAATATGTATCAAAATAATCAAAATCGGTGAGATTGGGTTGGGTACCTTTTCTTGTTAGAGGGATTGGACAAACGTTATGAACAAATTAAAAATTGTGAGTTTCTAATAGAAGAGATTCAGAAAGGTATAGAATTTTTATATAATAACACATATTTTGTGTTCAACAAAATTTATTATAAACAAATATTTGGAAGCCCGATGGGCTCACCTATCTCTCCTTTACTGGCTGATATTGCTATGGAAGACTTAGAGAAACATTGCCTGAGCGTGTTGCGGAATGAATATCAAATTAATCCTGTTTTCTATTACAGACATGTTGATGATACTTTGATGTGCGTTCCGAAAGATAAAATTGATTTAGTTATCGAGACGTTCCATTCTTATCATAATAGACTACAATTTACATTTGAAATTGAAATGAATAATTTTATTCCATTTCTGGACTTAAAACTGATCAGAAATAATAATAAATTAGAATTTTACTGGTTTAGAAAAACAACATAAAACTGACAGAATTTTAAATTTTAACTCAGAACATACAATTCATCAAAAAGTTAATATAGTTTCAAATTTAATTGACCGGGTGTTTTTACTTGCTGACAAAAAATTTCATTCCAACAATTTAAAAATGATTACTAATATTCTGAAAAAGAATAATTCTCCATCTCTATTTATCAAAAAGCATATACAACAACGTATCAATAAATACAAAAAAGGGAATAACAATTTAAAAAAATTAGAAAATAAAAAATTACCTACAGTCTCTATTCCTAATAATTGCAACATCTTGATAAAATGTTCATCTGTGTTAGAGAAACATAACATTATGCCTATCCCGTTATTACAAAAACCATTACAAGAGTTTATCCGTTTAGGAAAAGACAAATCTGATTTATTAGACAAAGATCCTCCATTAAATAAGTCGGAGAGATCAATCACCACACGCTGAGTTGTAACGCTAGATTTTGCTTGAAGATAAAATGCCTGAAATTCTCCTTGACAAATTCAAAACTAACTGATTCAATTTGTTAGTCGTTCCGGCCGAGATCCTCCGGCTCATGGCTCGTCTACGGCCGGAGATACTTCTCGACGTGCTTGACGACAGGAACGTTCAGCGACCGGTGGAAAGAGGCAAGGCTCGTTCTTACTCCAAAAGGTAGGAGCGATCCTGGCACGCTTTCGGCCTACCGACCGTTGAGTTTACTTGATACGACTGGTAAACTCTGATAAATTACCGAGACCGAGACTGATGGACGTGATACAGGCCGGAGGGGGTTTCTCAGGCTTGTAGTTAGGTTTCAGGAGGGGTCGATCGACGATTGGAGCGATCCAAAAGGTTATCGACTCTTTCCTGGAACTGGACAGTCAGGGGTCGATACTAGGACCTGACTTCTGGAATGGTTTATACGATAGCTTGCTTTGGCTTGGGATGCCGCTAGGAGTGACCCTCGTCGCCTAAACTGATGACGTGATAGTGATCACGGAGAGTTCCCCCGAGCTGGCGCAGCTGACGTTGAACCAGACCATGAGTTGCGAACTGCAACTCGCAACAGAAAAGACGGAACTGACGTTTCTCACGAAAAGACGCATAAAGATGATACAACACATAAGGGTGGAGACGTAGGAGATGGAGACCAATAGGGAAGTAAAGTACCTTGGGGTAATCCTCGATACAAAGATGACCTTCTAACCTCATATACATAAGACAATCCAAAAAGCGGCAGAGAGGATAGCACCCTTGAGTAGCCTGATGGCAAACACGATGGGACCGCGATCGGGGAAATGGCGACTGTTAATGATGACAGCTTACTCGATCCTCCTATATAGCGCGGAAATATGGGCAGTCATCCTAAAGACAAAGGAATACTGTAAGACGATGATGGTACAGATACAGGGCGCACTGCGAATCGCTTGCTCCTACCCAACAGTTTCTGTGCAGACTGTTTTGGTGGTGACTGGCGTAATACCAGTGGATCTTCTGGTCTTTGAATGCAAAAGGATCTATGGGAATAGCGCGAACATAGGACGAAAGAACGCGGCAATTGCCGAGCGTGACAGGTCAATTGACATGTGGCAAGGCCGATGGATAGAAGAACGACGTAGTAACTGGACAAGACGACCGATATGGGACTTGAGGCTGTAGCTCGGAAGAAAATTTGGCGATGTAAATTTTTACGTCAGCCAGCTTTGACGGGTCACAGATACTTCCGGCAGTACCATAATATGAACAGAGTACGAACACACAATTGTAAGTACTGTGGACACGAACGAGATGAGACGGAACACGCGTTTTTCGCTTGTGGTCGCTGGACAAGACTCAGATGAGAACTTGAGACAACGGTCAGCAGCACCCCCTTAGTCAGCAAGACTAATATAAGGGGAATTTGCAAAAAGAATTCCGTAACTCCTTGTAAAAAAAAGAATAATTTCTTAATCAATTACTTATACAAAACAATAATTTAGACTTTATCGGATCACAAAAACTTAATAATAATAAGAAATTATTAAATTAATTAGAATTCATTACAACTTATATATGAAAACTCTCCATCATAAGATAAAATATAGAAGGAAAGATTAAAGTAAAACTAAACAGAAGTAACGAATTAATTTTTTTATAAGTGTACATGTAATTATTAATAGATATTGTAAAGGAATTGGGATTTTGCGAATAAACGTTAACATTAAAATCAATTTGAGATATATTTCGAAATTTATTAATAAGTGTAATTTAAGGCCATTCTAAATCAATGTCCATCACGTCTAAGGCTATTATGTCGATTTTATGACCAAGAATAGTACAAAGATTAGGAAACGACCTTCCGAAATCCCCATGAATAAATTCTTTAATATATGTTCCAGCTTGTGATTTTATATCAAGCAATAAGAATGTTAAATTTTCAGGTATGTGATATAGTTTCTTGCGAAAATTTTTTATCTCTGATTCAGTAAGATGTCGCCCTCGTATTTCGTGTATAATGCGTTTTCTTGGAGATAAAGCCCGTCTATGAAGAACCCTTAAGGGCGTATTTTGAATAATTATTAAATTTCGAATGCATTCCAATTTTTTAGTTACATTAACATCAATTTTCCGTTCAGAAATACAAAGTGCTCGATATGTTTTTATTTTCATTTCCTCCCCTTCTTTTAACCTTCGTAGATTACTCTTCTTTAGAATTTTTAAATTTTCTTGTATTTGAATAACATCAACACTATTATTGATAGAATAATATAAATCACTTAGTTGGTTCTGTGATAGTTTGGTAACCTTCGGATTAACAAGTTCCACGGCAAATGGTCTTCCAGTTCCTAACATTCTGACATCTACATCTTCTCTTCCCGATGATAAAAATTTTGATGCTAAAAAATTAGTTTGTAATAAAATATGAATATAGAAGAAGATTAAGAAAATGTATTACTACTTACAATCACTCTGAGTGGATTCAATGATACGTGAACATACTAACTCTTGAACGGAATTTTTTAATTTGAATTCACCTTCAATAAGCCAAGGAGTTTGGCACAGGCGGCGTGACAGCTTGATATATCTTCCTGTGAAATTTGCAATATTCAAAGTTATTTACTTGAACCGTAAATATTAATTAACATATTAAGATTTTTCAATTTCATACACAAAATGGAATATATTGAGTCTACAAGAATAGTTGTTAACTTGTTTAATATTAATAATGTAAATTATTTGATACAAATAATATGTGAATTTCGATTGGATATATTCATTTGAATGTAACAAAATTATTGTTCAGTAAACTATTGTGTAGAATAAAATTGAATTACGCTTTCTTGTTATATTTTTACGTGGCACTAGACAATTACATTTTTGTTTTGCAGATTGTAATACGGCTACGATCGTCTAATTAATTTCCTATTAAGATACATTCTACTTGTCACAGGGAGTTCAATTAATAACCCAGCCCGACGTAAAACATGCTTAACATACTGTCTTGATTCCCTTATAGTTTTCTTAAATGATAAAATTTGTAATAATGGAAAGAAGGAAAATAGTGAGAGCTGGAAATTTACTTAATTTTTAATTATATTCAGCAAAGTTTTGTCAGCACATTTGCTGATCTCTTCAGGCTTTATTAACAGAAAAACAACAAATTATCAACAGTATAGTTTCAATGTAATTTTAATGGCATATAATTATATGTACATGTCGCGATGTCACCGTCAAGCGGTGCGGAAGTGCAACCGCCTGACGCATCATCGCTACATAAGCATTTCAAGTGTCATCCAAATACAAAAGTAGGAGCAGTTGTGTGTTTAGTATGTGGAAATTTCTATCATACGAGTGAAATAGTAGCAAAAATCAATGCAGGAAATGCAATCAAACTAATAAACAGCTCATTCATAATATGCCAGGAGCATCCAAATTTTGCACTAACATCAAACTTGCCATATGGGGACTTAAGTGAACAAGCTAGTGCTTTCATAACACAATTCAAACTTGTAAGCAGAGAGGAAATAAAACAAGAAATACTAAATGAGCTCGTGCATGAGAAACAAATAATGAATGAAAACGATGAACATATGGATTTAACACAAGTAAGTGAATTAAATGAAATACAACAACTAAAAGCTGAAAATAACTTATTGAAAGAACTCTACAAAGAAACAAAGGAAAAAAATGAATTACTAAATGAATTACTCATCAAAGAAAAGCAAAATAGGAATAAGTTATTAGCAAAAGAAAAGAAAAATAAACCAAATAACATATTTAAAAATTCATATGCAGAAACATTGAGTTTACCAAAGCCTAAGCCAAAAAAGGTACCAAGACTTATTATCAAACGAACTAATAAAAATGATACCACTAATTTAGAAAATACCGTAGCTCATTATCTTATCAAAGATAAAACAATACAAACAAAAAAAATTAAAACAGTAAATAACGATACTATCATAATTAACTGCATGAATGAAGAGAGTATTAACACTATAGAAAAAACATTACATAAAAAATACACACGTTTGCTAAAATTGAAAAAGAGCAAATTAGGAAACCAGCAGTTAAAGTTACTGGCATCAGCAAATCTTTCACACAAAATATGCGAGACATTGAGTCAGATATAAACCAAAGAAATTTCCACAATTATGATGACAAAGGTAAAGTAATACAGACATACACTAATGAGAAATTGCAAACTATGACAGTTATAATGGAGGTATCAGCTAATTTGTACAAACACATTAGAGAGAATAAAAGTAGACTTTTTGTTGGTTGCCAAAACTCCAAAGTCTATGACATTATAAATACAAGCCCTTGTTATAACTGTGCTAGGTTTGGACATAGTGGGAGCAAATGTAAAAATGAAGCCACGTGTTACAAATGCGGCGGTAATCACACTGGTAGTCAATGCAACAATAAAACACAAACATGTCCTAATTGCACATACAACAATACTAAATACAAAACTAAATTTGATACTAAACACAGTGCAATTGACAGCCAATCTTGTGAAATTTTAAAAACAAAAATAAACAAATACATTGAAATGTCGGACTACCCCATAATGCCAACACACCAACGCTACTTCGGAAAAATAGAACACCCGGCTGCAGAAAAACCAACAATTAACGCGCGTCCTGCTCTATCAAGCGGCGCATCATTAGCGTCATTAGCCTCCATATCCTCGCTCAACTTACATGGTAACAATAATACGAAATACAAATAAAAATGCATCCCATCGATGAAAATATTAGCAACGAAATTATTATTAATAACACTGATGAATTAAATGAGCACATAATAACAGAAAAGGAAATTATTATCTGTGTTAATATCAGAAGTTTGAATGCCAATTACACCAAACTTCTAACATTTATAAACAACCTACAAAAAAACCAAGTGTTATAATATGTACTGAAACATGGAATTTACAACATTTCCTAGTCTTCAATATTAAAGGATACAGTATGTACTATAACAATAGTAGTATTAATAAGGCTGATGGCGTGGTGATCTATATCAGAGACGACATAATTGAATCAACAGAAATAATTCAAATACAAAATTTAAAAATTTTACAAACTACAATACAGTTAGGAAATGAAAAAACTATACTGTTAGCAGCTATATACAGATCACATGACCTACACAAACCACAATTCATACAATCGATCAAAACATACATAACTCAACACATAAAGAAAAAAAATTCAATATTAATAGGCGATTTCAACTGCGGCATTTTAAGCCAAGATCCTTGGGATCAAGAATTCTTGCAAATGTTAATGGAAAAAGGACACCATTCAGGATTTAATACGATTACCAGACCTTCGCTGGACAACAACAACAGTGGAACATGCATTGATAATTTTTTTATAAAAATGGAAAATAACGCATACAAAACTTTCAACGTCAACACCCCGTTCAATGACCATTATCCACTAATAATGGCGTTGCAGAACCAAACAAAAAGCATAAATCACTCACATAATAAAAAACAAATTAATTACCGAAAACTTCAACATATAGCTCAAACTATAAATTGGAATGAAAATAGTGAAACTAATGATACAAATCAATCTATCAATAACTTAATCATGAAAATACAATATTGCCTTAAACAGGCAGAAAAGAAAAATGTTACAAACAAAACTATTAATAGCTTGAAGCCAAGAAAAAAATGGATCACCAAAGGCATAATAAACTCATGTAAAACTAAAGAAAACCTATATATTGAATGGAAATATAATCCTCACGATACAACAAAAAAAAACTATAACAATTTTATCAAAATTTTAGATAAGATAATTACAATAGCAAAAGAAAATTACGATAAAAAAATCATAGAAATGGTGCAACATGATCCTAAGAAATTATGGTCAGTTGTCAACAACAAACTAGGGAGAAATACTCAAAATAACAAAACTATTGATTACATCACGGACAAAAATAATAGAATCACCAATCCAGAAAAAATTGCAAACAAAATGAACACATTTTTTTGTGAAATCGGAACGGAACTTAGCAATAATATAATATAACCGCTCAACCTCCCAAAAATAAACCCGAAAACAATATTTTTAAATTTTACAAATGAACAAGAAGTAAAGAAAATAATTGGCAGACTAAAAAACAAAAAAGGAGGAGTTGATGGAATTAATTCATTATTATTAAAATCATTAATCCACTACGTATCTGAACCACTTGCACTTGCTATAAATAAGTGCATTATTAATGAAACTTGGCCTGATGCTTTAAAAGAAGCGGATATTATACCAATCCACAAATCAAAAGAAAAACATTTAGCAAATAACTACAGACCTATTTCTCTAATCTCCAACATAGCTAAAATCTTTGAAAAAATAATACATAGAAGAATTCAATCTTTCATTGTCAACTGTAATTTACTTTCCACAAATCAATTTGGCTTTCGAAAAAACAGATGCACAAAACATGCACTAAATTATATTTCAAACAACATTTATGAACAATTAGATGCAAGTAAACCTATAGCAATAACTTTTCTGGATCTTGCCAAAGCCTTCGACACAGTTGATCACAAGATACTGTTACAAAAATTATACAACTATGGTATTAGGGGTAGTGCCTATAACCTTATCAAAAGCTATCTAACAAATAGAAAACAATGTGTGAAGGTAAATAATGCAAGTAGCGATAAACAAATAGTAAAAATGGGTGTTCCACAAGGAACTATACTGGGTCCGCTACTTTTCCTACTATACATAAATGATCTACTAACGATACTACCAGAAAAATCCATACTATCTTTTGCAGACGATACAGCAATCATAGCAAAAGGTAAGAATTGGAAAGAAGCTGAAACTAATATGAACAGATATCTAAAAATAGTGGGAATTTGGCTTGCTCTTAATAAACTATCTTTGAATATAGACAAGACATCGTACATGGAATTTGGAAATTATCATGACAGTACGCCAAAAAATCTGAAAATTGAAATCTTAGGACATCCAATACACCGAGTCGAAAACATAAAATATCTTGGAGTTACTTTTGACAGTAATATGAAATGGGATTTACATCTACAAATTCTATACCAAAAAACAAAATATCTAACTTTTGTCCTATATAAGCTATCAAAAATAATGAATACCAGTACATTAAAAATGATCTACTATGCACTCTTTCACAGCATAATGACCTATGGAATTATAGCTTGGGGAGGAGCGTACACAGGTCGAATTAAAGTAATACAAAACTTGCAAAACAGACTACTAAAAATAATCTATAAAAACTAATTTGTGACACATGAATACCCACTTAACTTAGATCAATGCTTTTCATTGGAATCTCTATTATTCCACTACGATACTTTTAAGGACAAATATATTGGAAAAGAAAGAAAAACAAGATTCGCCTCAATCCAACACCCAAAAAGAACACTAACTATCAGCATAAAAAACAGTTATGTAAGAGCAATTATGTTATACAATAAACTACCAAATGACTTGAAAACAATTAACAACACGACAACTAGGAAAAACAAACTTAAAAAATGGATCAAAGGAAACCCAATATGGCAAATAGATTAAACTGCAAA